GTACAACTAGATCTCTTTAACCTAAAAACTGTAGTACATGGCGAGCCAAACTAATAAAACAATGATGCATACTCATCGGGAGTGTGTAAGATCCTTAAACAAGGCTTAACAGGGTTTACGAACCATGTATTGCGATGTCGGACACTCACAATTGTCACACATGGATCCTCTCTCAATCGTCTTCACTCTATCTCTCTCTATGTCAAATCTCTCCCAAATCCCTCTAAGCATGAGAAATCTCTCTCAAATATCTCTCTGTATGAGAAATCTCTCCAAGAATGTTAAATCTCTCCCAAATATCTCTCTGTATGAGAAATCTCTCCAAGAATGTTAAATCTCTCCCAAATATCTCTCTGTATGAGAAATCTCTCCAAGAATGTCAAATCTCTCCAAGTATGTGAAACCTCTCTAAAATATCTCCTTGTATGAGAAATCTCTCCAAGAATGTCAAATCTCTCCCAAATCTCTCCAAGTATGTGAAATCTCTCCCAAATATCTCTCTGTATGAGAAATCTCTCCAAGAATGTCAAATCTCTCCCAAATCTCTCCAAGTATGTGAAACCTCTCTAAAATATCTCTTTGTATGAGAAATCTCTCCAAGAATGTCAATCTCTCCCAAATCCTCCAAGTATGTGAATCTCTCCCAAATACCTCTCTATATGAGAAATCTCTCCAAGAATGTCAAATCTCTCCCAAATCTCTCCAAGTATGTGAAAACTCTCGCAAATATCTCTGTGTGTGAGAAATCTCTCCAAGAATGTCAAATCTCTCCCAAATCTCTCCAAGTGTGAGAAATCTCTCCCAAATCTCTCTCAAAAGTTTCCCTTAACTTTTTAGAATCACTCGGGTCATTCCGGCCCTTAACCGGGTCAAAAACGGCTTGAAACGGGGCGAAAACGAGAAAAATAGGCTTTAGGAACCGAAACCGGAGTGAGAGGCCTCTTAGGACCAGAGACCGAGCCTCTGGTGGCTAAGAGACCAGAGACCCGAGCCTCTGGTGGCTAAGAGACCAGAGACCGAGCCTCTGCCTCTGTCGCCTCACGCTCTGCTTCTCTTCGGTCTCGGTTCGATACTTCCGCCCCTCTGTCTCTGTTCGCTACTCCGCCGCTCTGTCGCCCTCTGTTCCCTTCTTCTCGCTCTGCCTCTGTCTCGCGCCCTGTTCTCTCCTTCCCCCTCTCGGTTTCCTTCCTTTCTCTCCTTCTTCCCTCTCGGTTCCGCCTCCCTCTCTCTCTCGGTTCAGCACCAGAAGGCCGAGCCTCGGCCAGAACTCGCATTTTGTCACTTTTAGCCCATTTTTGATATTTTTAACATTTTAAAGCCCGTTTTTCGTGATTTTAAAGCGGGATTTTCTCCAGAAATTATATTTTAACATAATAAACTCTAAATATTCATAATTTAAACATATTTTGATGAAAATCATTATTTAAATAATAAAAATGAAATGGGTGAATTATTAATGGTGGAGTGTTGACTTTGCCTTATCCAATGTCACAAGCAACTACCCCACACCCACTCTTGACTAACCAACCTCTCCACCTTACCTAGGTCACATCAAAGTCCTTTCCACCCAATTTACACTCATTCCCATGTTTTTAGAGCTGGAACAAACATCCTCTCTCCTCATTTTCTCTCATTTGCCCTCATTTCACTAAGTATCAAACACCACTTTCTCTCAAACTTTTTCCACTCCAAACTCGAGATTCAAGGCTGATCTTCACGTGTTCTTCCACTCTTAGTAAGTATAATTCATCCTCCTTATGATTATTTCACTTCATTCTACTCAAATCATGAATATCTTACACAAACTCCATCATATTAGCGTTAGAGCTTCGAATCTTTAAGTAATTCTTCAAGTGTTCTTGGGTTGAACACTTCTCTTCTTCAACACTTATCTACTGAAATCACTTAAGGTGAGTTCATACCCCTACATTTTCATGTTTTCTCAAGTTTTCAGGGGGGGAATACAAGTTAAAACACTAAGAACATAACTAAAATTTTCTAACAGCCTTCATCAGAAAAGTTCAACTCCATTCACGGACTGTTTTGGGAATCTTAAACATTTTTGTTTTCAAAACTGTACAAGGTGCAAATAGTTCAAGTTTTTAGCTTTAAAATGGCTACTTGCACATCTCCATACGATTTTTCTACAATTTATGGTGATTTTTACAAAACTGCCTATCATTTCAAAACAACAATCCGGACCAGTCTGTGATTTTGGACTTTTTCACCCAAGTTGGAGGTCATTATAAATTGTGATAAAAATTATGAGCAAACTAGACACATTTTTTGAACTCTCAGAATTTATGGATCTAGTTTTCGACTTCGTATGATTTTTCTATGATTTTTCCAAAACAGGGCAGAATTGCTAAATTTTGCCAACAGCATGTAATTATCAAAACTCTTTGTATTATGTTGAGCAAAGTGTGTAATCATAAGTTCTAATTTTTTAATGTGTTTCTTTGCTAGTTTATCATTATGAACTGAAACTAAGTCATTCATATTAAATATTATTCATTCATTTAGAACATGTATCATGTAACTATAAAAGTATAGTTGATAAATTCACAACACTAATACATTTCCATAAAAGAATTCATACATATTAGATACATTTTAGATAAACTATAATAGGTATAGTTTGTGATACATCACTCAACACACTCTATACAAAAAGGGGTACAAATACAAAGTACCGGGGTCTCTATATAAAAGGGGTACAAATGCAAAGTACCGGGTCTCTATACAAAAAGGGGTACAAATACAAAGTACCGGGTCTCTATACAAAAAGGGGTACAAATGCAAAGTACCGGGTCTCTATACAAAAAGGGGTACAAATACAAAGTACCGGGTCTCTATACAAAAAGGGGTACAAATACAAAGTGCCGGGTCTCTATACAAAGTTATTATGATATTAAAATTTTACTTCCTCTAGAATGGTTAGACTTCAACTATAGTCGCTGAGCGTATGTGTTTGAGTCATATAAGAATTTAGTCTTGATTGGCCTAGAATTGGTGGTGTCCGCCTCATCTCCTGTTCCTCGTTGGGTTGTGGACCTAGGGCAGACCCACTATATTCAACGTTTTATCTAATTTAAACCTTATATAACTTTTATACGCTGGACGATTATAGAGGAACTCTACGGGTTACTCTAGGGTTCATTAATGCATCATGTAGGAATATTTCTATTCACACTTAACTAAGAAAATATTGGATTTTCTGGAAATCAAACTATTCTTCATCTAAAATTGTTAGACTTCAACTATAGTCGCTGAGCGTATATGTTTGAGTCATATAAGAATTTAGTCTTGATTGGCCTAGAATTGGTGGTGCCCGCCTCATCTCCTGTTCCTCGTTGGGTTGTGGACCTAGGGCAGACCCACTATATTCAACGTTTTATCTAATTTAAATCTTATATAACTTATATACACTGGACGATTATAGAGGAACTCTACGGGTCATTCTAGGGTTCATTAATGCATCATATAGGAATATTTCTATTCATACTTAACTAAGAAAATATTGGATTTTCTGGAAATCAAACTATATCGATTTTACAAGGAAAAACGGTTTCTACTTCAAGCAAAACTCTTATTAACTCACCAACCTTTGTGTTGACACTTTTTAAAACTACTTGTATTCTCAGGAAATCAGTGAAACAGGAAAACTTCATCGCTTTGAGGATGGGACGTTAAACCGTCAACAAATTTATTTTGTTATCATAATGTAATTGCTTTTGAAACATGTAAAAATATACTTTGGTGTAACTTTTGCAATTATATTTATGGTGGTTGTTTTTAATTTGAGCACTATTATACACGTTGTTGTGATATTGTACATGAAGTCCTCCACCCCCAGACGTTTCCGCCATCCTTGGTTTGGGGGTGTGACATTATACCCATCAACATCAATGGAATCTCCAACGTTTTGTTTTTTTACCATTGGTGGCAAATTATACTTCAAAGGACTTGTAGCTTCAATTTTGTCAGGATAGGAAGGGGTCAAATTATCATCGGTTTGTGAGATCGCATTCTTAAATCGAAAACATGAAATAGCTTTAGTAAAAATAAAATTAAAAAAAATAACTTTTTAAAAAAGATTTATATAAAATTAAATAATGTAGATTTATAATATAACCTTGAATGACTTCGTTTCATGAGATGCGATTTCTGTATCATCAACATTTGCAGAATTACCTACCTGTTTCAAAAGTTTTAATATTTATATAATTTGTGGGATTAAGTTTTTGTTCCATGGAGATTTACAATTAATTACTGAAGATCATTATATAAAAGTATGCATCATAAAAAGTAATAGTATAAACAAATAAAATACTAAAATAAATACCTTAACCGCTAACTTTTTTTCCAAAGCATTGATAATGTTATTATCAAGCGTATACCCAAGTATCCCAAACCGATTGTAGTTATTGGAGACGTTAAAAATATTGACATCTACTTTGAATGCCATCTTTTTATGCTCCAAACATTTAAGGTCATAAGGATAAAATCTCGGATTATCCCCAGCCTGAAAAAATGTGTTATATACTGTTGTTATGGCTAAAACACATTAATATAAAAAAATCCAACAAATAATAGCAATTAATAAAACAAATATTATAATTATGTTATACCTGTTTAATTTTCGCTATGAGATCACTTGCGCGTTTTTTTGATGGGTTTATAAGAATCTCTATCAAACAAAGTTAGTGTGATTGTTCCAGAATCATCGTGGACACGAATAGGTATCTTATACCTATAAAAATTTCTCACATAAATAAATATTAAATATGTTTAATGTTTAATAATGTATTTAAATTGTCGATTTGCAATTTTTTTATATGTAAACAACCTTGGAAGAAAAGATATTTGTTTGTCTATACACTTATCATTATAGCAATCATAACTACATTCGCATCACCACTTTCTGGACAGCTGAAAACATTCCTTGCATCAACTTTCTTTCCATAGTTTGTACACGCATCGTAGTACCAATCAATATCCTATCGAATTCCATAAATAGTTCCAACAATGATGAATTTCCCGACCTAAAAGAATATAGAATACAAAAAGATCATTAAAATCAATACAATTATAATATTCGTCAATTAGAAAATAAATACTATTAAGATGACTAAATTATTCACATACCTCTTCTGGTTCTAGCAAATCGACAACTTTTTTAACATTGTGTTTCTCCAAAAATTCATCATATTCAGAATATGATTGAGAGGTATCAACAGTCAAAGAAGAAGAAGGGTTTTGAAGTCCTCGTAGACCGACCAAGCTGTTTTTTTTATTAAGGAGATTAATTATAAAATTAATAAAATTATTAAAATAAACAAAAAAACAATGAATCATTAAAAAAGTTTGTTACTTATCTGTGAAGGTAACAATATCGGGAAGATCAACATCTATGAGCATCCGAGTGTGGTCAAAATGACTGTTAACAGAAAGTAGTCCTAACGAAACAAAATAAAAGACTCAAAAGAATGATTAATACAAAAGCCTAAAATAAGGTTGATTTGTATAAAAAAATATACCGTTATAGACATTAATTTTTGCAAACTGCAATAGAACAATCACACAACCAACTTGTTTATGAGCTTCAACATAAGAAATTATTTGGTATGCAATATCTCCAAACAATGTCACGTTAACCTGCAAACCTCTGCAAAAATAATAATGGCTAAATGAATATATAATACAAACATAACACATGCAAAGTTTAAAGTAATGAATATAATATATTCATATAAGAAATAATATAAGAAAAGTGATGGTTAAGTTTCGGATTTGTAAAGGTAGCCTATGTCTGAATTTGTTGACATCACGTGAATCATGCATTCCTAATGAAACAACTTCACCAATAACATCTAGATGAAGATAATATAATATGTCAAAATGATGTAAACTTAAAGAATTAAATATAATATACAATGGAGAAGAGAGAAAAAATTACCAATTGACTCATTAGAGGTAGTTGTTGCAGAGATAATTCTTTCAAACGAAACAAAAGAAAATCCGTATGCTATTTTGGATTGGAAGTGTAGACACTCATTCACAATTGTTCTTCCATGCAAGTTTAACTTGTCATTTACATCACTTATTTTAAAAGTGTATCTGTTAGGAGCGATAGTGGGGGATCGGATGTAAACAGCTTGATCTTCTTTCAGTTTCGATTCAAACCTTTGAAAATCTCTTGGATAGACACTTGCTCGGATTTTAGTACACTATGCACATAGGTTAAGAATATTATATAATGTTAAATAGTTGTATTTAAATTAATAGAAATTGGTTAACAATGATTTTGAATAATGTTTTTGGATTTTCAGATTTTACCATCTCATTCATCAATATCATCTCAATTGATTTTACTATAGTGGGGTTAACATCTGAAATTGATCTCCATAGTCGGATGATAAACATTTCTAGTGTGTAATCATCATTCATATTGTCGAGGTCTTTAATTAAAGTGATCTTTTTATCTGTCATTGTCACTATAACAGAAAGACACATACAATAATAAGAACAACAATGTGTTATATAATTACACACAGAAAATATAAACACACAGAAAATTACCATTATATAATTACACACAGAAAATAATAAGAACAACAATGTGTTATATAATTACACATAGAAAATAAAAACAAACATAAAATAATAATACAGGACTCCAGGGACATAATGGTAATTTTTTGTGTGTAATTATATAACACATTGTTGTTCTTATTATTGTATGTGTCTTTCTGTTATAGTGACAATGACAGATAAAAAAATCACTTTAATTAAAGACTTGGACAATATGAAGGATGATTCAACACTAAAAGCGTTTATCATCCGGCTATGGAGATCAATTTCAGATGTTAACCCCACTATAGTAAAATCAATTGAGATGATATTTATGGAGGAGATGGTAAAATATGAATTTCCAAAAACATTATTCAAAATCATTGTTAACCAATTTCTATTAATTTAAATACAACTGTTTAACATTATATAATATTATTAACCTATGTGAATAGTGTACTAAAATCCGAGCAAGTGTCTATCCAAGAGATTTTCAAAAGTTTGAATCAAAACTGAAAGAAGATCAAGTTGTTTACATCCGATCCCCTACTATTACTCTTAACATATACACTTTTAAAATAAGTGATGTAAAGGACAAGTTAAACTTGCATAGAAGAACAACTATGAATGAGTCTCTACACTTTCAATCCAAAACAACATACAGATTTTCTTGTGTTTCGTTTGAAAGAATTATCTCTACATCAACTACCTCTAATGAGTGAATTGGTAATTTTTCCTCTCTTCTCCATTGTATATTATATTTAATTCTTTAAGTTTAAATCATTTTGACATATTGTATTATCTTCTTCTAGATGTTATTGGTGAAATTGTTTCATTAAGAATGTTTGATTCCCATGATGTCAACAAATCCAGATATAGGCTACCTTTACAAATCCGAAGCTTAGAGTAACCATCACTTTTCTTATATTATTTCTTATATGATTATATTATATTAATTACTTTAAACTTTGCATGTGTTATGTTTGTATTATATATTCATTTAGCCATTATTATTTTTGGAGAGGTTTGCCGGTTTACGTGACATTGTTTGGAGATATTACATACCAATTAATTTCTTATGTTGAAGCTCATAAACAAGTTGGTCGTGTGATTTTTCTATTGTAGTTTGCAAAAATTAATATCTATAACGGTAAATTTTTAAACAAATCAACCTTATTTTAGGCTTTTATATTAATCATTCTTTTGAGTCTTTTATTTTGTTTCGTTAGGACTACCTTTTGTCAACAGTCATTTTGACCACACTCGGATGTTCATAAATGCTGATCTTCCTAATATTGTTACCTTCACAGGTAACACACTATTTTAATGATTCATTGTTTTTTGTATCTTTTAATAATTTTATTAATTTTATAATAAATCTCCTTAATAAAAAATAGCTTGGTTGGTCTACGAGGACTTCAAAACTCTTCTTCTTCTTTGACTATTGATACCTCTCAATCATATTCTGAATATGATGACTTTTTAAAGAAACACAATGTTAAAAATGTTGTCGATCTTCTAGAACCAGAAGAGGTATGTGAATAATTTAGTCATCTTAATAGTATTTATTTTCTAATTGACGAATATTATAACTGTATTGATTTTAATGATCTTTTTGTATTCTATATTTTTTTAGGTCGGGAAATTCATCATTGTTGGAACCATTTATGGCATTCAACATGATATTGATTGGTATTACGATGTGTGTACAAACTGTGAAAAGGAAGTTGGTGCAAAGAATGTGTTCAGCGGTCCAGAAAGTAGTGATGCAAATGTGGTTTATGATTGCTATAATGATAAGTGTATAGACAAACAAATATCTTTTCTTCCAACGTTGTTTACATTTAAAAAAATTGCAAATCGACAATTTAAATACATTATTAAACATTAAATATATTTAATATTTATTTATGTGAGAAATTTTTATAGGTATAAGATACCTATTCGTGTCCACGATGATTCTGGAACAATCACACTAACTTTGTTTGATAGAGATTCTTATAAACTCATCAAAAAAACGCGCAAGTGATCCCATAGCGAAAATTAAACAGGTATAACATAATTATAATATTTGTTTTATTAATTGCTATTATTTGTTGGATTTTTTTTATATTAATGTGTTTTAGCCATAACAATATTATATAACACATTTTTTCAGGCTGGGGATAATCCGAGATTTTATCCTTATGACCTTAAATGTTTGGAGCATAAAAAGATAGCATTCAAAGTAGATGTCAAAATTTTTAACGTCTCCAATAACTACAATCGGTTTGGGATACTTGGGTATACGCTTGATAATAACATTATTAATGCTTTGGAAAAAAAGTTAGCGGTTGAGGTATTTATTTTAGTATTTTATTTGTTTATACTATTACTTTTTATGATGCATACTTTTATATAATGATCTTCAGTAATTAATTGTAAATCTCCATGGAACAAAAACTTAATCCCACAAATTATATAAATATTAAAACTTTTGAAACAGGTAGGTAATTCTGCGAATGTTGATAATAGAGAAATCGCATCTCACGAAATGAAGTCATTCAAGGTTATATTATAAATCTACATTATTTAATTTTATATAAATCTTTTTTTAAAAGTTATTTTTTTTTAATTTTATTTTTACTAAAGCTATTTCATGTTTTCGATTTAAGAATGCGATCTCACAAACCGGTAATAATTTGACCCCTTCCTATCCTGACAAAATTGAAGCTACAAGTCCTTTGAAGTATAATTTGCCACCAATGGTAAAAAAAACAAAACGTTGGAGATTCCATTGATGTTGATGAGTATAATAATGTGAATTCGTCCACCAAAGTACCTCGATTGAATTCCAAGGTGGATGGCAACACAGGTCTCTTGATACCATAGCTTGAAAAATGATTTCAGATTGTCCTTTTTGAATCAACAATATTCTTGAATTTGATTGTTTTTGACAGTATTGGTTTTCATGGTGTTCACTATTCAGACATTGATAGTTCTTGGTTTATTTTCCCTGCTAATCTCTTTCTTAATTAAAGACTCCTTTTTAAGTTATGATTGTAATTAGACATTGTGTTTGATGGTATATGTTTTTATGGTGTTCACTATTCAGACCTTGTGTTTGGTAGTATGAGTTTTTATGGTGTTCACTTTCAAACATTGTGTTTGGTAGATGATCTGGAAAAGAGCTTAAATAATGCATTTATGTAATTTTATATATTTCATATCCTATTTATTTGTTTACAATCACATTAATGTAGTTTTAAGATGACTAAAATAATTACCTTAGCGCCCTCTGTTGACCTGGTGAATGGCTTAGAGGTAATGTATTTTTTTGGGTTAACCACTATACATAAGTGTTGTTACTGCCTTCACCTGCTGCTTCCCTGCAACATCCTCATCCTGATAAACCATAATAATAAAAGGTTACAAGAAAATTGAAAAAAACATACAATATTTGATGAGTACATGTACAAATTTAAAATAAGTTATTTACCTAAAATGTCAAAAAACATTCTTATGGCAACTCTCATTTTAAACTAAAGCAGAACTATGCCAAACTATATGAAAATTAAGGCAAACTCTCATTTTAGGTAATGTACTTTCACTTTTACACTAACTACATAGTAATATATATTTATTTTAAATATAAATATTACTTTTCTCTAAAAATTTCCACCGATTCTAATCACTTTATGTAAGTTTATATGCTTCCTATCTGCAGATACCTAAATCCATGTTTTTGACAAATATGAACCCTAATGCACATCAATAGGTCTTTATTAAATTATCAAAACTGTTTAATTCTCATAAATCATCAAAATGTAACATTTGACAAAATCTAAACATTTGTCTTTTTAGTTGTCCTCGTGTATGAATTAAGAGAATTCAACATTCCTCTTGGATAAATTAAAAATCACTAAAACACTATGCATACACCATCCGGTATCTAAACATTATTAGAAACTTCATGTCATCAAGAGGTCTTTATTAAACTATCAAAACTGTTTAATTCTCATAAATCATCAAAATGTAACATTTGACCAAATCTAAACATAATAATTTAAGTGAGATTACCTTTTTAAAATTTTTAAAAAACTACTGTAATTAATATATTATATTTTTGCAAATATACCAAATTATATTGATAATATAAGTTTATTTGCCTTTTTTAAAAATCAAGGGCAATTTATATAATTTCACTTTCATATATGTACCATTTACACGATTAAATAATAAACCAAAAAAATATCAAAGAAATATTTATTTTTTACTCCTGTTATGAAAATGAATTTATAAAAATGGCCCCTATAAATTGTCCTGTTTTTTAAATTTTATTTATACAGGTATTTCAAAATCAAAATATTTACTAACAGAACATACACATAATATTTTTTTTACATTTAATTTATAAGATTTTATAGCCTTTTAATGGCAACCTATATGTTTAGATTTTTCATATGTATTCATTCTTAAATTTTTACTATAAATTTGAACATATCATCTTTTTTTATAAAGTTATAAATTTTCTTATATTTCAGATTTTAAGCATTAGCATGGACGTTTTTAAGACTAATAAGAAGATAAAATTAAATAATTTTTATCTGGATAATACAAAACATATACCTTTGTATACTACATCAGTCGGTCAAATTCGATCTTCTAAAAATGTTATTAACCCAGGTGCTAACGGTATGTTCGTTATATATTTTACGACTTTGTTTATCAATATTATTAATTATTAATCTCAATTATAACTATCTTACATATATACTGATTCAAATAAGAACATCTGTCATGTTCAAGCTAAAGAAAAAAAAGAAAAAGAAAAAAAAAAGGTATACTTGGATACCAAAAAGAAAAAGTATGACCGAATCAATCAATGCAACTTCATCGACATCATATGTTTTAAAAATGAAGGAAAACGGTAAACTATT